TTTGTGTTAGCCAACTAGTGCGTTTCCCGAGGAGGTTCTGGAGGTCTTTTTGTGGCCAAGTTTCTATGGACACTGCTTATGATCAAGTTTAAGTTTTATTTTCTTTTCTTTTGTTTGGAAAAGTTTATGTTTATTTTGTAAGTAGGGCTGAGTTCCCTTTTGACTTATCTGTTTTGTGATAATGTAAAGATGACATCATAATACATGTATGTAAGTCTAAATTTTCTGTCTCTTGTAAGTCTGCACTGCTCCATGGACAATATATTTTAATATTTGTTTCCGCTTGCCGCTTATTTTGTTAATCTGATTCAGAGGCCTTCAGTAATCTTAGGATTATTGGCCGGTTACGATACTAAACCTATAGAGGCGGGTTTGGATCGTGACAGGTAGGGAGGGAAACCTTAGGGAAATTATGGTGTTAACCTCTAAGCTATTTATCTATCTTTTAGATACTTCCTACCAAGTTATTGGTTTAGTGGAAAAGAGAGAATAAGGCAGAAATTTGAAATCATTTACAATTTTAACCTTTGTTTTGTTAAGTAAGTTAAAAATAATGGATCAAAAATGTAATTTAACCTACTAAATGTTTGACATAATAACTATTTTTGTAATTTCTTTGTATTTTATGATAACATTATGCAACCATTCACTTATCTATTTATTATGATTTCAAGTGATTTTCATCTCTTAATTGTATTTATGTTTTTCCCCCCACTCTATGAATTTATTATTTGTTGATACTCTGCATGGGAACATATTAATAATTGCATGAGCCAGCTTGTTTTGGGTATGATTTATAAATTGATTTTTTTACTTATTATGAAAAAATGTATAAAAAAATATAGAAGTGATATAACTCAAATAAGCCAACAAATTAATAAAATAACTTTTTTAGTTCATGTGAAAACCCATATTTAAATTATTCTTGAAAGAAAATAAATAAATTAATTAATTAATTAGTTTTAAATTAACCAAATCCTATCACTAATAAAGACCCTATTAAGAATAATAATTTTGTGGGTGTTCAATATTTGTTGTTTATAAATTATTTTAATTATGATTCAATATAATAATTATTCTTACTAAATACCTTAGATAAAAATCTTAGTGTATCAATTTTCAGAACCCATACACATACACACACACACACAAAAAAGAAAAAGAAAAAAAGAAGAGATGTTCATAACTATGCCACCTGCTTGTTTGCATGGTGGTATAGGAACCATAAACCACCATCTCTCTTGGAATTTAGGGAAAGCTTTCATTCTTCGAACTTTGAGAAAGTAAGCAAGATAAAATAATGGAAAGAATGGGAGGGAGAGAGAGATGTCTTCAACTAGTATTTTATATATATATAAATATGCATGCAAGCCTTCCTTGTGCATGCAAGCATTTGGTAGAAGAAAAAAAAAAAAGAGAGGAGAGAAATCTCTTAAGCAACCAAGTTTAGTGGTAGGAGAGGAAGAAGAGTAGGAGGTTAAGCAAAACCAAAGTTCTCAACCATTTTGTCACCCTACTACTAGGTAAGAAAACCCTTCCAACCCTCTCATTTTTTTTTATTGTTGGAATCTTCATTTTATTCCTATGATAAAATGACTAATTTATAGATAGAAATTTTTATATATATGTATGTAAATTTTGTGATGTGTATATCAAATATCTGAAGATACTACCCTATTACTAAGTAAGAAAACCCTCTCAACCCTCTCATTTCTTTTTATTAGTGAAGTTTTCAGATTATGTCCTTGTGATTAAAATGACTACTCATAAATAAAAATGTTATATATATGTGTAGGAATTTTGTGATATGTATATCAAGTGTTTGAATATGTTGATAGTCTTAAAATCATCTTATTATTGTAAAGAAATAAGCTTGCATGTGTAGTTTATACATTTAAAGAGAAGATTGAAAATAATTAATCTGTTTTGAAGCTGCCAGAATGTTGCCCGAATTTTTAGACAATTTTATACTGAAAATTTCGAGATGATTTCTTCTATACAGTTGTTGATAATGATGTCTAGTTCATCCAGGAATCTTTGCAACAATTTTTGAGCTTTCTACGAATTTATACAAATTTTTAACTAAATCTGAAACTGTGTTGAGAATAAATTGTTTTGAATCTGCCAGCATGTTTACCCGAATTTTTAGATAATTTTATACTCAAAATTTCGAGATGATTTATTCTACAAAGTTGTTGATAATGATGTCTAGTTTGTCTAGAAATATTTGGAAAGACTTTTTGAGCTTTCTACGAATTTATACAAATTTTTAACTAAATCTGAAACTGTGTGACAGATTTTACCATGTATTTGAAAATTTATTTAAAAGTTTATACTAAGCCAAATCTGGTAATTTCTAACTAAAAGATGAAATTTGAGAAGTCTAGTTTCATGATAAATTTTTAGATTAGGGGTTTGATCTATAAATTTAAGCATGGAATTAATATAAGGAAATGTGACAAATCTGTGTCTTAAACACCCTTGGAATTTTTAAGAATTATTTATAATTTATTTTTGGAAAATGCTTTCTGAAAAATGACCATAACATGTTTATGGATTATTCTGTAGATTGATATGAATTTTAGAGTTGTATAAGTAATGTATTTAAAATTTTACTTGTAAGATATATATTCTGAAAATTTTTCAGGGCAGGATAAAATCACCACTTTCATATTATACTAGTCTAATTTAGTAAATTAAAAATTTGTGCAGGTGTGCATTTATGGTTTATTTCTTGTATTTAAGTTATTATGTTCATACCATGGTTTTAAGTAATTGTTTACTAAATTTTGTACATTGAACTATTATTGGGTGACATGCATAATATTTTATGTTGGGAGTTTTTCTTTAGTTGGTATAATGTTATTGGTGATTGAGATTTGAATAATTTGTGTTTAATATATAAATTAACCAAAAGGATTAACGGTATATAATGAGTTACTGATGAAGGGTTAATACTGGGTATTCAGGGTGAGCCCTGGTTTTGAGAATTCTCGTGTAAATTGTGTCGCGAAATCCTAAGATGGCACGGGACTTATTTGAACCCTTTTCGGTATTCGGTTTTGGAATAAGAATGGATGTGCAGGTGGCACACAGGGAGGTTACGTACCCCTGGCAGACTGGTTCCTTGGGGCAGACCACGGATGCCACTACTTGGGTATATAACTCCGGACGTGGGCATCACTGGTAGTTACGATTGGTAACACTTACATATTTGACCAAGGGAGGGTTTCAAATTAACCGTTGCCATGCTTGGTGATTGGTAAGTTAAATCTCTGTGGTGAGATTTCGAGTGTCACGTAATTTATTAAAATTACTGAAAATTATCCTAATGGTTGTAATTTATGTGTACAATTATATTGTTATCTCATATTTAGAATCTTATTATTTTTCTCTTAAAAAGAATGGTAGGTTGGTTATGTTTTCTTACTATGTTGCAAAACTCATGGCATATATTTTGTTGCCCTGGCGTTTCATGCCAGATTATGCCGAAGAAGGAACCGAAGCTGAAATGGGAGTTGCTGCTAATATCGAGCCTTGGCTAACTTAGAGCCAAGATCTTATCAAAATAAAAGCATGTTATTTCTTGTATTAGTATTTAACTATGTTGTGATGTTGTGTGTGAACTTGTAGTTTTATTTGGTTGTTGGACTTTGACTATGTAAGAATTTAAAATTTCCTAATTAGTAGTTAAAATTTTATCTAGCAAGTTATTGTTAGTTAAAAAAAAAAAAAAAAAAAAAAAAAAAAATTGGGGCGTCACAGTTCATCCCAAAAGAGATTTCAATGAACTTTTAATAATGCCACAAATGCCAAATTTGTTTTTACTTTGAAGGGGATTAGGTCGAAGTTGTGATGTTTTGTCTATACAAATATGAATAATACACATAATGTTAATAGTCTATTTTGTATTTTTGATATGATCATCGCATTGGTTCAATCAATGAAATAATATGTATTGTTGACATTAGGTGAACACATTTTATCTCATGTTGACATAAGAATGTCTTTTTTTTCTTTTTGTTTTTTAATAACTAGTAAATGCCTTCTGGCTACATAAGATCGTCAAACCACATAAATTCTTCAAAGCTAAAGGTGAATTCTTAACCAAAACGACCATGCTACGTAGCTCGAAACCGCGGCTCGACACCAAAACGACGTCGTTTTGATGTCGAGCCAGATTTCGAGCCGTGTTATTCGAGCTACCAATCGGAATCGGTAAAAGAAACCACATCCATTCCCTCAGCTAGGGCATTGTTAGATGAGAAAAATAAGGTGATTTGGCTGAATCCATCGCTGAAGAAGAACAACAATGGCTGTTGTCCACATCCGAAGCCGATCAGAGTGTAAATCGACGGCTACACTACAACCATCGCGTCCTCGCCACCGCCGATCGTGAGGTACACAAATTTTTTTTTGCTTTTTGGGTATTTCGTCTCCTTCAACCCGATCTGGTGGGGTATATTGATTGATCATCCATTTTTTTATTCTGTCCATGCTATTTGTTTGTTAGGCATCTGGGAAAACATATGAGAGCCGTTTCGAGCTCGACCCTTTCGAGCTATGAGACATTTTCATAACCAAAATTGTTTTTGTAGCTCGAGAGGGGTGGCTCGAAAATGGCCCGAAAATCACTTTTTTCTCTCTCCTCCCTGTTTCTTTGCTCTGCTGTGCCTCGCTTCTTCTACTGTGTATAAGCGATACAAAAAACAGACTCCCTTTCCACATCCCTCTCATTCTCCACATCTGTCTTCCTTCATCTCTGTCATTCCCCAGATCTCTCTCATTTCTTTCATCCTTCATCCCTCTCATTCCCCACCCAGATCTCTTTCTCATCCCAATCGGTCACTGATCGTGGGAAAGAGGACGAATGACAATGAAGGAGAATGAACCACGATGGAGAACGAAGGACTGTTTAAGACTGCGATTTACAGATTTTAACAACTCTTCACTTACCGTCGTCGAAAAATCCTTATTATCTACGAGAAGAAAAGGAATTTGAGGTAAATAAAAAATTAAAAAAACTAGGGAATGAGAGTTTGGGGTTCAATTTTTGTAGAAATTAGTCGATTGTGACTGTTTGGGTTTGAATTTGGAATTTGTGTTAGGGTTTAGGATTTGCCTTCAATTTGTGATGTGTTTGCTGGTGAATATATGTCCTCTGTGTTAGGGTTTGGGATTTGTGGACATATATATCCTTTGTGAATATATATCATCTGTGCCTACCAAAATCCTTCACCAAATTTGAACATGCTCATATATCGTTTGATGAAATGCTCTAAACAGTTTTGTGGATAAATTTCTTTATTATTGCATTTAATTGAAACTTTGTAACTTTCTTTTCAATTTGTGTATTAGATGAAATGTCAAGAATGTTGGGGCTTGTATATGCTTACTAATGTTTCTCTTTTTATCTTCAACCTATCCATGAAACTAGTAGTTTTCAAACTAATTTTTCACTTCTGTACCTGAAGCTTTTCTATGGTTTGGACTCTGAAAATCCCACGAAAAAGGGACATTATGGGTTCGAATTGTTAGCTTGTTAGGTTCATTATTTTTAAAAGCTTGAATTTAGAATAATTATTGATGTAACATGCTATAAGAACTCAGAGAGGGTATATATGGAGCCCTCTTCAAATCCTTACAAACTTTTTGTGTACTTGAGGGAGGGTGCACTTCAGCTAAGGTATGTGTGCGGTTTGAAATTGGTGTTGACATTTGGATTTTTGGCTTCAGTTTTTGCTTGGGTACATAGGCAGATTCTTTTGGCTTTTTATTAGGGATTATTGCTTGGGTACATAGGCAAGAATCTGCTTGGGTACATAGGCCATAATTTTGGGTACTTATGCATTTTTTGGCTTAGCGAGTGTAACAATTTAGACAAAACTATGGCTTTGAAATGGCTTTCGCATTATGTAGGCAAATTAGAGAACTATGGCTTCTTCTTCTACTAATAATAGCAATATAAGATTAAAACCAAGATTGTGTGATTGTGGGAGAACTGCGATGATGTATATTGTACGCACGAATGAGAATGGAAACCAAGGACGTTTGTTTTTTGTTTGCCCATTGAAATATGTAAGTATCTATTACACAATTAGATATTTTACCGTGGACATAGTTATTTATGTGATTTGATTAACTAATTCTTGTGCATTGTAGAGTCATAAGAAACATTGTAATTATTTCAAATTCGCAAATGAGGATGATAACGACACTAGCTCGACAATCCGTTCCAGTGTTGGACCTCAGAAAGCTATAAGAATAGAAGAATTAAATGATCTAAGGACAAGGATTTCTGAGATGGACAATGAAATTCATGAGCATGGTAGAAGGCTTCAAAGAATGAGAAGAATTTCAAGTCAATGATTTATGTCATTGTTTTTTGTGTCGTTTGGCACTTTATCATGTAAATGACGGACTTTCGAACATTGTAGAAAATTTCATGAAAGTAACAAAAAACTTGTACTTAATGATGTTTTCTGTTGAATGTAATCAAATACTTGTCTTGTATGTTTTGTGTTGTCTATATAGATGAGTTTGGATTGCGAACTTTCATAGGCTACTAACAAATGTGGATTGGGAATTGACATATCAAAAGGTGAGAAAGAAATGGTAGTATTTATGAGCTTATCGTAAATAGTGCTCAATGAATTTGTGGAAGAAAATTCCTTGAAATTTATGAGTTTCAGTTGATTTCAGCACATGTTTGCGTTTGTTACTTGCATCATAAGAGCTTTGTGGTAAACCAAATTGCATACATAGTTGTCATCTGGTTTAATGTTGTGAATTACTTTACATAGGTTCTATGTGCTAAAATGGTTGATCTTCTTCTTGCTCTTTTGTTGAATACTGCTTCTCAAATCTTTTAGTAATGTCTCCAATCTTCTTTTTTTCTCACCGGGTTGCAAGTATTTTGAATATTTTAAATTATGAACTAGTTCAAAATGTTGGAAATTACATCTTAAGGTTGGTATCAGGCTGCTTTTGCTGTCATTTGGCTGCTAGAGGAAGCTCATTCACATTTTTGTTTCCTATTCATTATATCTGTCAATGGTTCACTTGCTTATACTCTCTAGTATTGATCAACTGGTATTTTTAAGTGCATCTTTGAATTGCATGATGTTCACAAATGCATGAAATTATATTCATGTATGAATACGAGAGAAAAACTGGTTGAAATGGGTACAAAACTGAATGCATGTGCATATGCATACACAATCACAGTATCATGTCTGGCATGATTAAGAATTTAAGTGCTGTAAATGCCAACACAATTGAGACAAAATGAACTGAAGTAACATATTCCCAAAAAATGAACTGAAGCAATAGTTTTATGAAGCTAACAAATTGAAGCCAACAACAACATTGCCACAAAATGAAGCCTGCTGTCATTTTTCAGAAAAATAAACAAACAAAAAACGAACTCTTTTCAAACATTGCCACAAATAGAAGCCAACAAAAATATTGCCACAAAATGAAGCTTGCCATCATTTTTCACAAACATTGCCATAAAATGTATCCATACGAAATAAAATCGAACTATCCAAAATTTACATACAAATGTCATACAATTACTTGTGCGAAACTAAAAAAAAATGGGTCATTTGGATCCGTTTCTATATTCAAGTCAACAAATTTTGATGCTATTGTCAAACTTTGACTGCTTATATTCTTGACCATTCTTGATTGAGCATTAGATGTGCTTCCAGTATTGCCCGCCATTTGCATTGTGATAACCCATGCCTATAAAAAAAAAAGTAAATATTATTTGGCACTGTCCATAAACTTATTCACCAAACAAAAATTTAATTCATGAATAAAATATGTGTACTCATATACTCAACACGTACCGGTACATACATACAGTGCTGTGTGCCATCCATGCAAGAAAAATAGTAAGGTTGATCTTGCGGCACCTTATCATCAAATAGTAACAACATTTCATTATTAATTTCAACCATTAAAATAAAAACACACAACAAACAAAGTTCAATACACTAAGTCCTTTGAACACATACTGGTACATACATACTGTCTTTTGTGTGATCCATAGAATGAAAATAGTAAGGTTGATTTTGCGGTACCTTATGATCAAATAGTAACACCATTTCATTACTAATTTGAAGCATTAAAAAAAAATCACAAAAACCATACGACACACCCTTTATATTTTAACACGTACCGGTTCATACATACTGTGTTGCACGCCTCCTATAGAAAGAAAGTTTAACTTACAAGGTTCACCTTGACGCACCTTGTGACCCTACAATAACAGACATTGGTGAATATTTTAAGATTAACAAATTGACTGTTATTAACGTATGTAGTGTGAAAATAAAATTTTACATGTACGGGAGTAGCCTTCTTATTTTTTCCCTTTAACCGATTCACTAGTGCATCAACCTTGCTAACCATCCATTTTGTACATGAACGGCCTCTTCAATGAGTAACCAAAAGACTAAGTACCTTGCGAGTTATGCTTTCTTTTGTAGTATAGCGACGAGGTGGACTTTTCGGTGAAGTATAGCAAGGTGGTAAAGTACTAGTGGAAGGTGGTAAAGTACTAGTACATGTCACATTACTCACACTACCAGATTGAACTGTTCTCACTTCATCGTTGATTTTCATCAACCCAAGTTGAATCACTTTGTGTTTACCATCATCATTGGTAGCAAGTTCTAGGATCTCATCCAACGTCTTGTGATAGTTATCATGCAACTTTGGATTTAGAGCAGACCCAAAGTTAGTTTATGTGGTTGGAATGCATGTGTACCCTCTTTCTAAGTTTTTTCTCTGTCTCGAAACAATGTATTTATTTGGCACCTCATATATGGATCTCTCAATGAGCACACAAAGTGAATGGGCACACATAATACCTCTAAACTCAAACAATCGACACATACATTTGAGCTCACATTAAGTTGAATTAAAGTACATAACAAATTCCACTTTTTTTATCCCCTCACCCAAAAGAATAGTCTCCTTCACATGATAGGTACAAATTGCTCCCTCCTCTTTGATAAAATTTGTACGACAGTACACTAGACGCTTCATTTCTGCTTGAACTTCTTTAAATTTTGAATTAGTGCAAGCTGCACGAAATTACTTCTCAAAACGATACACCGTTAAGCAATCATACAATTTATTATGAGATTTAAAATCTGCTTTTGTCTCCTTCTCTACCTTACTTCTCAAGGCATTGTCATACTGCTCAACAAATTGCTTTCAGGTTGTCTTGGAGTTGACATGCATTCATGCTCTTACTTCGTTGTGTAGTTCACATGCCATCCCAAAATATGTCTTTAACATAGGCAGGAATTCACCTATGTCGCTCACGGTATAATACCCCAACCACTTGTTATCATTCAGATTGAATTTTGCAATCATTGCTTCCCAGTATTCCTTAAATTCATTTTTTGTGAATGAATCATAAACTATATTACTTAAAGCAACCTTTATGGATTTGTATTGCGAATATCCTTTCAATTTCTCTGGAATTTTCTTCATAATATGCCATAAACACCAACGATGTTGAGCCTGTGGGAAGACAATTTCTATGGCATTTTGCATAGCTCTGCAGTGGTTAGTTATTATAGCTTTTGTGGGAGCATCTGACATGCAACTTAACCATTCTTTAAATAGCCAAACAAATGTCTCAATGTTCTCATTACATAACAACCCACAACCAAACAAAATTGACTGTCCATGGTGGTTAACTCCTACAAATGGAGCAAACAACATATCATATTTGTTTGTCAAATAGGTTGTGTCAAAGGAGACAACATCACCCTCTTTCTAAGTCTTTTCTCTGTCTCGAAACAATGTATTTATTTGGCACCTCATATATGGATCTCTCAATGAGCACACAAAGTGAATGGGCACACATAATACCTCTAAACTCAAACAATCGACACATACATTTGAGCTCACATTAAGTTGAATTAAAGTACATAACAAATTCCACTTTTTTTATCCCCTCACCCAAAAGAATAGTCTCCTTCACATGATAGGTACAAATTGCTCCCTCCTCTTTGATAAAATTTGTACGACAGTACACTAGACGCTTCATTTCTGCTTGAACTTCTTTAAATTTTGAATTAGTGCAAGCTGCACGAAATTACTTCTCAAAACGATACACCGTTAAGCAATCATACAATTTATTATGAGATTTAAAATCTGCTTTTGTCTCCTTCTCTACCTTACTTCTCAAGGCATTGTCATACTGCTCAACAAATTGCTTTCAGGTTGTCTTGGAGTTGACATGCATTCATGCTCTTACTTCGTTGTGTAGTTCACATGCCATCCCAAAATATGTCTTTAACATAGGCAGGAATTCATCTATGTCGCTCACGGTATAATACCCCAACCACTTGTTATCATTCAGATTGAATTTTGCAATCATTGCTTCCCAGTATTCCTTAAATTCATCTTTTGTGAATGAATCATAAACTACATTACTTAAAGCAACCTTTATGGATTCGTATTGCGAATATCCTTTCAATTTCTCCGGAATTTTCTTCATAATATGTCATAAACACCAACGATGTTGAGCCTGTGGGAAGACAATTTCTACGGCATTTTGCATAGCTCTGTAGTGGTTAGTTATTATAGCTTTTGTGGGAGCATCTGACATGCAACTTAACCATTCTTTAAATAGCCAAACAAATGTCTCAATATTCTCATTACATAACAACCCACAACCAAACAAAATTGACTGTCCATGGTGGTTAACTCCTACAAACGGAGCAAACAACATATCATATTTGTTTGTCAAATAGGTTGTGTCAAAGGAGACAACATCCCCAAATGCTTTATAAGCCGCCATACTTCTTGCATCCACCCAAAACAAGTTTTGCATGCGACCATTTTCATCAAGGTCAATTGTCGAATAGAAGTTCGAATTTTGTTGTTGCATTTTATGAAATAAAGTGTAACTAATTCTACATCTCCTACACCAAGTGTCAATCTTCTAGCATTCTGAATATAATTCATTGTATCTTGTTCATCAAACGTTAATGTCTCATATCCCCTTGCTTCAACAACTATGGAATAAAAATTCCTAGCCACTCCAATCCTTGTTGCATCATTAACTTCTAGTCTCCTCTTCATCGGAGTAAGAATCCTTTTATTCATTGCAAAATGTCGCGAGTCAGTAGGAATCAAATCATGAGTGTGCTCAAGCACAACTGTAGTTAACTTATATCTTCTATGTTTTTGCAGACTGGCTCTTAACCTTGCTTTACAATCAATTTTTGATGACAAAGATGGTTCGAGGGGATTTACTTTTGATTTTTTTGTTTTAATCTGCACCCAAGTACATTCAATTCCAAAGTATTTTACTTCCCCATCCTTGTTACATTTTGTGTTCTATAAGCTATAGCAAATTCAAGTTGTTTCGCATATTTTGCATAAAATGTGTACACTTCTTGCTTTGAGATAAAATACATCCCCTTTTTTGGTTG